CAGCAGGTCGAAAGTGAGGCAGTGATTCATACAAGAAGACACTGCGAAGTGTTTGCGCCATGTCATGAATTGGTAGAAGTTGGAATTCATGAGCTGGTCATTGGATCGGGTCCCAGTGGCTTAATGGTCTACAAACTCGCTAGCCTTGTAACCAGAAGGTCCTGGGTTCGAACCCTGGCGGTAAGTGTGTGCTGCTGAAGAGTCCCAAGCTGGTCTGACGAAACAGATATCCAGTACTCCCTGCAGGTTTTCCATTGGTTCTCTTACTGATGTCAGCTCATGATAAAATCCTCCAACTAAAAAAAGACTGATTCTTTTGAGAATGTAACATATACATATATATAAGTCAAATTACAGAATATCCCCTAGTTGTTCTTTGTCACTTATTTTATGTTTTGTTATGGTAAGTTTAAAGTTTATATCTTAGAACACATAAATAAAAAATTTATTCGCCTTCTGGTTATACTCTGAAGTTTGAATCAGATTTCGTAGTTTGCAAATTAATTCATGATTTGCAATTTACACATTACGAAACGAAATTCCACTACAATTTCATCTGGAAACTGACATTCAAACAACAAAATGTGATCTACTTGATGCCAGAAGTGGTAATCAAGAAAGCAAGCATAAATGCACGGTAGTATCTGCTACTAATCGGTTGATAAAAGTGGTTGAATACCATTCAAATGAACCACTAGTGTTTGCTGGCCAGAAGAATATGATGCAAAATGTGCACGATTTGCTCAGTTCGATAGAGATGTATCAGCTCAGTCTACCTGAATCCTGGTTAGCTATAAGGGAACTGAGTGAGCACGTTGAAACAAACTGGAAATCTGCTGATCACATCTTGTTCGCTAGTCGGAATACAGGTGGTTTGAACCGATTTGGCTTTCTGAAGACAGTCACATTGGACACAGTGTAGATGCGCTTGAATGAAACGACCGTTCGGTATTTTGTTCACCTCAATTAGTAAAGTAAGCGCAACCAGTTGATGTGAGTGGTATTCAAATACTCATATCAGTCCATCAGTGGTTTATAGAATTGTACAATTATGCTCTAAATTTCAATTTGCGCTTATGACTGCTGTAATATGAAGTGAAAGATATTTCATTTTCCACGTACTTCTAAAGCTAGCTTTACTGCATAAATGTTATGATATTTATTTGTTAAATAATCTTTACACTAGAATAATATCACTTACAAAAAAAAGCAGGAACCCCGGATCCTAGGAAACTAAACTCTTTAACTGTCCAGCTGTTGGTCATCAGTAACGAAAAAAATGCTCATTGCAACATTGGATGGTCTACTGTTTTATACCCCCCAGGTAGAACATATAAAACAGTAATTAGAATCTCAAAGTAATTCCATTATCAGTAGCTTATATGATGAGAATAAAAATGCACCGTTTTTAAATAAATAGACTACGTTTGAATTTAAATTTGGCTTGGGCTGACATAAACCCAAGTAAGCCCTTTAAAAACTCATTTATTGGTTGAAAAACTATTCAGTATTTAATTATTTTGTCACCTTCCATGAAACATTTTCCTATAGATGAATACCGCTGTCTGACACATGTTTAAATTACATATTTAATTACAATGGAAACATCATTATTCACTGAGATGTAAGTACATTCAATGAATCTTATAGAGGACAATAATCTTCCTGTATTTCACTGTTACCTATCATCCATCAAACATCATGACAAATTCGCTTGCGAAATATTGTTTTTCCCAAAGTTGATTTCAGACTTATTCTCTGGGCGATTCTCCTAAACGATAGCCAGATATAAAACTTTTTCTGGATAGAACAAAAACAACCCTAAGTGCTAATCCATCTTATTCTTTGTTTTCTATATTTAAACTCATATTTCCAAGAGTTAGTTTGTAAGGATAGAACATGTTTTTAGTCCTATCTATGACACTCTAGTCAGTAAGCCTGAAGGACTATCACTAACCGGGAGTATATATGTCATATAGAACTGAACTACACAAAATACATTTTTCATAAACGAAATAAGAAGCTACGCCTCTTGTAGTAGGGCTGGTAATGCGACCCAGTTGCATAGGGAAAAACAGGTAATAAATTAGTCAAACCAAGGATTCATAGACTGGTAGCTGAATGAAAAATTCACACTGATAGTATATTACGTAAAACCGTAGAATATAAAAAGAGAATTCCGCAAATCAGAATTTGTTCTTCTAATTTGATTAAATCTCGAAAAATACCCATTTATTCATAAGTAAAAACACAGTTTTTATTCAGCGAAGAAATTTCTTTTCAACGACTTCATTTTCAAGCTGTACAGTCGTATTTATATAATTTGATTAAGCCCAAGTGCAGAAAACTGAATGGCCATTGTTGAATGGCTCCTTAGAATTGTAGAAGAACACAATCGCATCCACGCTGACACATGACTGGAATAATCAGAAATGGTAATTCGATTTATTCCTTGTCCCTAGAATTAAAAACGTGGAATGAGTGGACGAATGATAATTATTTGTCCTACTTAGCTTTTTTATCCCATTATAGAGGATCATTTCAAATGTATTACTTGTTATCATGTTGTAGACAGAATACAACAGATACAGCGTCTGGATTCTCATTCTAAAATCAGTATAGGAATTTCCTACCGTTTATGTTGCAGAACAGTAATCTGGCATGTCTACTCCGTAATACAATATTACTGTTACGTTTTCAGTGAAGCAGTATACATGGATTTTAGATGCTTCTATGAATTATTTAAGGAGATTATCGACAGAAAGAAGTTATCATACCATTAATGGAATCCAGTACAAGCGTTATGTCCCACTTGGGATTTATCAACCGCATGTCCCTGCATCCTCCGTGGTTGATAGTGTTCCCGTTAATACTAGAACCCAACATCCATCCTTTAAAGTACCAGTGGAATGAAATGCTAGCAGCTACCAACCCTGCAACATCATGTTAAACCAAAAGAATCGTCGAGGCCTTCATCCGACGAACCAACAAGAATGTAAAAATCAACAACTTCCGCTTCATGAAATCAGTCGACAATAAATTTAAAATAATTCCTGTAAATTATCAAATTCGAAAATAACAACAGCCCTTGTTATAAATAAAAACTGGAATAATATGAAAGTACGTCCCATGGGGAATACAAATAAAGAGATAATTTCTTATGATTGATTGCATGGAGGATTTCATCATGAGCTGACATCAGTAAGAGAACCAATGGAAAACCTGCAGGGAGTACTGGATATCTGTTTCGTCAGACCAGTTTGGGACTCTTCAGCAGCACACACTTACCGCCAGGGTTCGAACCCAGGACCTTCTGGTTACAAGGCTAGCGAGTTTGTAGACCATTAAGCCACTGGGACCCGATCCAATGATCAGCTCATGAATTCCAACTTCTACCAATTCATGACATGGCGCAAACACTTCGCAGTGTCTTCTTGTATGAATCACTGCCTCACCTTCAACTAGAAGGTCGTGGGTTCGAACCCTGGCGGTAAGTGTGTGCTGCTGAAGAGTCCCAAACTGGTCTGACGAAACAGCTGTCCAGTACTCTTTGCAGGTTTACCAATGGTTCTCCTACTGATGTCAGCTCATGAGGAAATCCTCCAACCAATCAAACATAATCCCAACAAACACCAGTACTTGATAATTAGTGTTTTCAACAAACTGCTTGGTTAAGTGTAATATAGCTGAGAAATGCTTGAAGAATCACTACATGTTATGGTCTATAAATGGAATGCTTTATCATTTACGTTACGAAATTTGAAGTTAAAGGACTAATTATTTGTTTGAGCAATCTTAATATTTTGTTTCTGTGCTGAATATTTTGAGTGACTAAGCTAATTAAACACTACGTACTTGTTTTTTCACTTATTTTTGCAGACGTTGCTGTTCATATGTTATCTGAATTCGAAATGGTTTCTGTTTTCCAACACACCCAGACAGTCATTACACACTTTGCTTGGTCTTATATTTTTCATGATGAAACTTTAACTAGATTAACCTGGTGACGAGCTGAGAGTAAAACTGATGACACTATGTTGATATAGGTTATACTGACTGTTTAGTATTTCGACAGGCTTTTTTAGACATCTATCAGTGATGTCTATTTCTGAAGCTCCATAGAATGTTGTATTTTGAAGAGAAATTAAACATCCTGCTCATCAGTTACTTTGATACTACGTCAGAATATAATATATCATCTATAGAGAAGCGACAGTATGCTGAGGTAAAGGCGTAATGGGTAATTAAAACGTACAGGTAACTTTCGAATTAGTATTAGTCAAACTGACATGAAACGACGCACTCAAATAATAATAACAATAATAACGAAGCAGAAATGACAGGAATCACTCTCAATCGCCACATTTAGAGTGAAGTAGTAAATAGTTCAACTCATACCATTCAAGGGAATAATACCTAAACAGATATTAAAACATCTTTAGTACCTTACATAAAGAAAGTCGATTAAATAGGCCACTTTTTTCTTCACCCTTAGTAATAAACCAATAGGAATTTGTAAAGATTGTGGGAAAGACATTCAAACGTTATATCAGTTCAGCTAGACATGATTGTGTTGTCAGACATTTATTTGGTAATGGCAGTGAATGACATAGATGATGATGCTTAGTAGTGATGCTGAATACCACATTTGGCGTGACTTCAATGCAAAAAAGGAATTAAATAATTGATTGAAAATGATACGCCAAAGTTTCACGAAATAATTCAATGCATAAATTTTATTATATCTATAAGAAATAAGTGTTAATTATTTAACCTTCCGTACTTTTACAGATGCCCATTTTGTTTTCTGATAAATAATTCCAGAGTTAATGAGGTGATGAATAATACTGAACACTGACACATTCACATTTCATTATAAAGAAAAATCTTTTTATTTCACAAAATATAGTTTCCGTTTACAGTGGTAAACGTGTATACATCATCAAAAAGAAGAATGATTTAATCATCACTTGTCAATAAAGCACCAAAAAAGGGAAACTATGAAAAGAAAAAGATTATCTAGTTCACGCTGTTGCTATTCTGTCATTCATAAGAAGGACGAATGTGATACAAGCGTAAATACTGACAAAGAAGTAAGTGAAATAGACTATATGTAATTAATGTTGTGAATAAAGTAATTTATTGCTAACATAGAGATTTGATTTATATAAATGTAGAAACTGTGCACTTTGGTAGAATACTATTCCATATTGCATAGGTTTATTTTAAACGTCACACAGGTATGTATTAACAACACATCCAGTATTAACAACTGGATGATGTTCCAAGCATAAATTATTGCTCATAATCATGTCAGTTTTATTCACATGGTTTCACAATTTGTCACATTTATTATCTTCTTTCTTTCTCTCCAACTTTCCTTTGTTGTTTTTTGTCACTTTCCATATCCCTAGTATAGGCGATGCGTCATTGCGTCATCATTTGATTACTTCCTAGATATTCTTTTTAGACTAAAAAGCTGATTCGTTTTGTAACTGTTTCAACATTTGAGTTATATCAGTCTTCAGTGGAGAATGGACTTCACTTAAAATCTTAACAAATACATCACTGTATTACTGCCTGAATGAAATAAACATAAATGTTATTATTGTATCAGATCACCTCTTCAAAATATCTTCAGTTCCATAGATAAATTAAAAGAAAAATTCGTCAAGTATAAAAAGGACTAGTTCATGTGTGTGATATATTTTTAGTGAAATTACTTACATTTCTAAATGATTAGGTTCGATAGTGAAAAACAAAAACTCAAGTTTCTATTGCATAAATTATATTCACACTATTCACTGAACTGTCAACCTTCTTCGTAAGTTTGAACAGTGTTCAGCCATTCATCTTATTATATTTACGGTCACTTGACGGCTTGCATATATACGTAAATGGATTGGAAGAATGTTAATGCATTACATTGTATGTTGATAAACAATTAATCAAGTGTGAGCAAATATGTAACTGTTGACTTCAGTTCTACAGTGATTGGGGATTAAGGTCATCAGTGTTGACAGTCCTCTGATATAAAGACTGGTTCATTAGGTTAAGGTTATTTTCTCAGTATTCGTTATGTGACTCAATATGTTAATATCGACGACTTTTATCCTACTTATCACTACCATAAATAATGCACTGTTCATACAGATATATTAAATTTTCTTGTTTCGTTTCACTAGATATTTATTTCTGCTTTAATATTTTCTTAGTTGAGTTAATTCTACATATCAGTATTAAAAGATTTGCGCATTTCCCACTTCGAAATTTCTAGAAGACAATAACTATAGGATATATGCTCACCGATATGATATTGTTCGATGCTGGTTTTACGTTTTGCTTTGGTATGTCTTTGCATAATCCACCTTAGTATACATTATGAAAGTTTAAAATTTAAATGTACTTTCGACAAAGGTAAAGATTCCTTAACAATTTGGCTAGAAAATTAATGTGCCACCAGTGAATACTTGAATCCAGTTTTAAAAAATTTAACATCTGCTATAATGTCACAGAATAACTAAGTTATCTAGAATTAGTCAGAATTCAGCCAACAAAATACAATCTCAAATGTTTAGACTAACGACAAGATTTCGAGTTCACAAACAAACGGAATATATATTGAAAAAATCAATGAGGAAATTGGCACAAGATTAAAACTGTAAACTAATTAGAAAAAAAAAAGGTAATTCATAAATAAATTATTCCGTAGCTGAGATGAAATATGTTCATCTACGACTGTTAAAGTAGTACCAAATATGACTACAGCTGTGAAAGCGAAAGTCGTGTTGTGGTGAGAGCAGGCTGCTAGCCAAATTGGTAGACAATAATTTACGTCAATGTTTGTGTCGCAAATATTGGTCGTGCGAAAATATGAACAAGACTGATTTAACAAGCAATCAGAGCAGACTTGGCATAGGCAGATACAGTTAACATAAAGATGACCTGACATTAAAGAAACAGTCACAAATAGATGGAGAGTCAACTTTCTGGGAGAAACAACCAATCAGAAGACTGTATTTGTTTGCTTGAATAACCTATAGTAATGTACATGAAAATGTACAAATACGTGTTGATTTCCTTAATAAACGATCTGTTGCCTGGGCCTTGTCTTCTGTTGTTACAGTATTTGCTATCAGTTTATCAGCCGTACAAATTTCAAGAGTGTTGACAATATTATATTACACATAACATTTACGAATTGAATAACAAGTGGCAATTACGTCAAAGGGGATAAGGCTGTAAAAACACTGTTCAGTGCGTTCGTAAAGCTGAAAAAATCCTGCGACTTTCATTGCTTAATAGGTGATGAAATTCATATTTTTCAAATTTATTATTTATTTAGAGCTAAGCACTTGTTGTGGTATCAAGGTGGGAATCTGTGAAAGATAGTTGAAGCTTTCTGCCAAACAATTTCGAGTGCAGAAGGAATTAATTCTAAAGTACTTCAAGACCTTCAATAGTTTTTCAGCTGATATAAAATTCCAGGCAACCTCCTACCAAAGTGTAACATCAGTTGTATAGCGGAAGTTTTGTTAAATACGCTTTAGTAGTTAAATTAGACTCATTTATGATGAGAATGGGTATTTCAACTCTTTGGAGTTGATATAGTTAATTTTAAGCAACCAGTCTTTCGCCACCTAGGTCCACTGCTTGCACTGTTTTTATTAATTATTACTATTATTATTTGAACAGAGCAAGAACTACAGTTTTAGCAGAATAAAATGGTACCATCTTTTATTTCGTTGCCTTCTCGTCAGCTACTTACATGGCAAAGACATTATTAAATATATCTACAACAACAATTTTAACATCATCACCGTTATTACAATAGGTGTTAGCAATCCTGGTATGTCCTCAACATTTAAAGTTTATCTCTAGTCCAATGATCCGCCGTTATTAGTTAAAAAAATGTTACATAATAGTGTAAAACCCAAGGAAGATCTAACTTAAAAACATATTATCCTCTTGTTTTAATTTTACCAATGGCATATCTAGCTGGGTTTACGGAATTGAAAGAAGAACATTGTGAAGTACCAATAAGATCCATTTCATAGATTTTTATCAATTAATTAATTAGTTTAGGAGACATCCTTAAATGCTTTTAGGGAATTCCATTCACAAAAATGACATATTTTTAGACTGTGGACACTGTAACAACCTATTTCTTAAACACTGAACCTTGAAGATGAAAATATATTCTCACACCGTTGTGTTCGCACTAAATACAATTTGGGTTAACATACCATCTTCTAGAATTGTTGCTTCCTTTTCTATAATATCCTTACCATTCTCGTCATTCTGTTTTACTTTCCCTCTGTTAAGCTTATTCATACATTCAGCTACTAAGGTTAATGGTTGTTCATTTTTAACAAACTCTTACCTAATTTCCTGTTCACCCATTTACATTTTAAGGTCAGTTGAATTACAGTCGGATCTAAATTTCCTGTTATAATACTTTCTGCAAAGTATTCTTTTTATTTATTGTTAAAAAGGCATAATACACTACGTAAACCATGCATCTTGAGTATGAAGTGAGATGACTAGGAGTCCTGAGATCCGTTTGCACGCTCACCTTCTGTATGCAATAAACAATGAACGAGTTCTTGATTACAACATTTACTGACCTATTTTAATCAATAAAGTAACATCCACTGTGTAATTTCTACTAACATGGTTTCAAAAATAAACCATTGTGTTTGTTTGTTGTATACACGGCTACTTATACACAATAGAAGCAAGCGATAATAGATTCTAAATTGCATAAACCAATAGAAAAAAGGCAATTCTGATAAGGGACGGAAATGAATATTACAAAAATGAACAAGTCGACAGCAGTAAATGTTGTTTATTATTTAGGGCAAAAATCAATTAGTGAAAAGCAGTAGTAATAAAATTCAGTTGATACTGTTAATTACTGATAAAAAGCTTTCCTCTTTTTGGCAGAATAACATCATTTACAAGATGGAACAGTTGGCTAGAATTTCCTTTGATTTATATTTTAACTACTGATTTTATATTATACCTCATAAGTGTCTATGTTTTAGTCTATTAAGTTTTCTTCTTACCATTTTGTCTACTTACTGAGATTTTTGATTTTCCTTTTTTGGGTATATTAAAAGTGTAATAGACGACCATGACTTTGAATTTCTTATCCATTTCTCTTATGTTTGATGTCATATACTACTGAATGGTTAGTATGTATTAACAGTTGGGTATCACTTAGATGTTTCTAGCAGATTCGGCAGTTTGAGCTGAGTTAGAGCAGTGACACCAATGATTAGCTTCAAACCAGAGAGACGGTCATCCAGTGTTTAGAATACCTCGGTTTCGCCGGTAAGCACTACTGTTTGATGTGAGTAACATCCAACGTCACATTTATGTCGTTCAGTAAGCAGCATACAGCATTTTGCACTTATGCTTGCTTTTTTGAATACCATTTATGATATCAAGCACATCATATATTTTACTCTGAACAGTTTCGGTTTTCAAAGGAAACTGATGAAATTTCCCCCTGAACTGTGTAACCTGCTAATTGAAAACTGGATTCTTTTTATAAAGCATTAAAGTGGTGACAGTCACTCATATAGAATTGAAGTTCCATGCCATAATTAATAGGATTTTTCTACTCCTTTGAAAACTCTTAACAATGAACCAACATAAAAATAACAGATCATTCTCGAACTTCATGAATGATTCCTATTTCTTTCCTGATGATATTTTAGTTTATCTCTGTTAAATTATTTGAAGTGACGATAAGGGAAAATTTCAGCAATTCAGTATTCTTTGACACTTAACATAAAATTATAATTTCGAAAATGTGATTATCATAAATCTAGTTGTTTTACGGTGTTTCCATATGATGAGTATGCCACGATAGCATTCCCAACAGGTTACTCCAGACTTTCATCAACACCGGCTCCTGTAGTTCCGTAGTGAACATTAGAAAACGACTCAGGTAGAATAAGTAATAAGGAACTCTGGAAGTACAATGAACCATCCAAGAATCTATTTCCCAACACATATGTGCGTCGGTGACACTGTGGTTAGGACTCTCGCCGACCATGCACATGATCCGAGGTTCGATCCCATG